CCACTAGTGTTGATATTTACCTCGATATTGTCTTTTTAAGAAAAAAACTTTCACCAAGAAAGTGACACCAGATGCCACTCATTTTAAATGCCCCCATCAGCTGAATATAACCTAGATGTGTGGCCAGCCAGTACTGGTGTGGGAGAAAAGTGGGATCCAAGTGACTGAGTGTGGCAAATGAAAGAGTCTAGCCCTAGGGAACCCTTTCTTGTTCTTTCTTTCATCAAACAACTTTCCTTCAAAATAATCTTAAGGAGCTACCGAGTAGGCTCCTGTTCAAGAGCAATCTGCCTCTGTGCAAAGAAAACTATGCGTATTGGACCTTCCACCGAAGGAAACGAAGCTCCAAATACATTGGCACGTTTTGGTGACTGGTGCAGATGATTAGCTGAACAAACCATCGGAAATGACGGCCTGATAGTCTTCTATTCACACTCCACTACGACCTCTAAGCTGTGACAACAGACACCCATCCAATCAGCAAGATATCCGCCTATCAGAAAAATCATTTACTAATCACATTGTTATCAAAAGGACACAATTTAGTAATTACAATCAGTCAAACAGTACAAATTTATGAATGGCACATGCGTGGAATGGAATGAATAGTCATTTTTGTTTGAAAAGATGGAGGAAGAGGAGAAGGAGAGACTGAAAAAAGGAGACCATACTCACGTAGATTCTGCTTGTTTTGCAGTGTCAGCCTCAGCAGCAGCAGTGTCCGATTCACTGGAATATTCCTCATAACGGAAAATCACACTGAAGAGATCACCACCAAGTCGACAGGCCAACCAGGAATTCTTGATCACCGCCACCTTGAGACAGTCCACACAGAAACGAGCGTAGAGGTTAGTGTGCACGGCTCGACCCATGCCTTCGATCACGATTAGATCCACCTGAAATGTGCAAGAACAGAGTCACTTACGGAACACATCGTGGAGACCCCGATGGATAACCTGAGCCCCACCAATGAAAGAACTTGCATGCTTACGGCCTTGTGGAAGAAAATTCACACCTAAATGGGTGGATCAGCACTTTCCAATGTGCTTGCAAATATTTACATGGCGAATACATAAATGCTGATATGGGTCAATCTACTGGTACGAAATTGCCCTACTCTTTTCAATTATTACCAATCCCCTCTCTCCTCCCTCTCCATATTAAAGTGAAATGTCGATGACAGGATCTTCATAGGTGTTTAAATAACGTTTGCTTCGCATGATATTTAAGGAAAATGCGACATTTAGCAGCAGCGAACTCCATCCAAAGTCAAAATGTGATTACTTGCTCGAAGAATGGCATCCTTGATGGTGGCGAAGATCCACATTATGCTATCTACACATTGATTTGGGATCGAAGAGTTGAACCCCGATTGATACATCACCCCTTGTTGGCAACACTGTCCACCGTTGAAATAGAAAGATCAGTGTACGATCCTGATATGAGGAATGAATTTTGCTTTCCAAATATACACTGCAAAGACTGTCTGCCAACCCTTGCACCAAACACCTTTACTACAGCCATCTCTCCGTCTCCACTCGATACAACAGTAAACATGAACAAAGATTGCATCACAAAGAGCCTATTCTGTAAACCAATCGAAATAAAGTAGTGT